TACAGTCTGAACAAAATATTATTGTATATAGTGTGATCATATCTACAATTCCATCATGATTCAAGATTGAAGAAAATCAATGGGTAAGTCCTTTGGAACTTCATAACATATATAATAAAGAGTATGTTTTGCATTTCATGACAAAATATTCACAGTTAATTTTCATTTGTAAAACTTGTTCTTTTACGTATATGTAGAAAATTTTATTGTCTTTCAGGTTCTTTTTAGTTCATATTTCTATGTTGCATAGAACGGAAAATACGCATTTTTTTTTCTGAAAGTTTGCGGTGATAATTAAGTAGGGTGATTTAAATTCCAGCCATACAGGGCTCCTGGCAATTTAAAAGTCTGTATGTTAAAGGTTAATAACATGTAATTCCTGTAATGTTGTCTCACAAAATATAGAATTATAAAATTAACATTTCATTTTACAGCAGAGAAATTAAACTGTGAACTGTGTAAGATTTGAGGCTTTCACGGCGGTGACTATGAAGAAAGCAGTCTTCTGGGATTTGGCACCGTGTATATGTGGTGTTAACCGACGTTTCGGAGGAAATATGAAATATCCAGGAAATATGAACAGAGAGGGGGGGTTTTGTCTCAGCAAGTCTTGGAAACTTCTCATCTGTTCTCTTAAAAAACCCCCACCGGGATATGATGCCAGATCCAGAAGGCCACACACGCCATGACCAACCAACAAAACAATCCCCACCCCTCAGCTCATGGGTGGTGCCCAGCCTTCAACCTTGCCTTTCTCTCCCCTACACAAAAACCACGCTTGTCCTAGCTCCCTTCCCCTACCCCTCCCACACTACTGCTTTCACTTGTACGAGTATACTTGCCCTTCCCCCTTCTCCCTCACTGCTCTCACATAGCTGTGTATTTTTCCACAGTCTGCTTTTACCGGTTCTCACGGTCTCTTTGCTTGCAGATTTCTTATATATTTTTTCTTCTACCCTGAAGATGGAGGCGATACGTTCCTCCGAAACGTCGGTTAACACCACATATACACGGTGCCAAATCCCAGAAGACTGCTTTCTTCAAACTGTGAACTGTTACACATGACAATATAAAACTCACCCCACTGCTCCTTGACTCAGAAGCTGAGCAGTTAAATGAAGTGACTTGATGTGCATTTTCTAGCCAAGGTCGATCCCATACTGTGACATGGCAAATTTTAATCTCCTATCAGAGAGAAAGAAAACTGTATCAAAATTAGAAATATATGTCTTCAAAGATAGTGTTCATATTGGTGTGCAGTAAGATTTGACAGCAAACTGCAATGAATTAAAAAAAATTTAAGTAGCACATTAAAATGGCTATAGAATATACAGCCTCTATATAAACTTCATTATCTCAGTAGCTCACATATTACTTGCCCATTAACACATAAACAAGCACTCTTATTCCTGTCATTAATTTAATTCATATTATATGACAAGCACATTTAAGAAACTTTATTTAATATATACAAATCTAAAACATGATTTACCGAGTTCTCAGTCAGTTTACAGCTGCCGCTGTTAGTCTCTCCTTTGCGGCGACTGCTTTCACCAAGTTCCAAAACTAAGAATACATTATAACCAGCTACCACCTACAAAAAAATATTAAATTTACAAAAAAGATACTATACTTAAAAAAAATATGTAGACAATATGCCAATAATAATGCCAGTAAATCCTCAAACTGAAAAAAGCTGTCACTATGATATCCAACAGTGACAAACAGATGTAACATTCTGATCTCCTTCCATTACACCCTAAAAACTACAATTCCATATATAAGGAAATGACACAATCAATATTTTATTTATTTAGGAACTGAAATAAATTTAGGAGAGAAAACTAATGGATGAAAAAAATAATACAAAAGTTCTATCAAAATTATCTTAGTATTATAAACGAACAAAGTTCTCCTAAAAATGCAAAATGACAGTCTACAATGTATATTTAAAACTATAACAACATATAATGCTGAAACATGGGCCCTTAAAAGCAGGAAAAAAGAAAATCCTAGCAGTGAAAATGAAACTGATGGAAAAATGGGGATAGAATTGTAAATTAATTTTTTATTCAAGTAGTTGAAATTCAAAATTTGTTAACACAATTTGTTGAGAAATGATTACAATCACTGGGCCAGGTAATAAGAATAGATGTAACAAGGTTATCAAGCAGAGCAGTAGAGTTAAAATTACAAGAAAAGATAACTACAGGATGAGAAAGAACATGATGGTTTAGCATGGTAATGAGAGCCATCAAGAGAGGAAAGAACTGGCAAGAAATAAAAAATGAAAGACTGTGGGATGAAAGAAATGACTGGAAACTGCTGCTAAAGGAAGAGACAATACGATCTCCTCCCACCATAAATTAACATCAGAATCTATGAGAAATGGGAATATAAATCTGTACCAACAAGTGTAACAATGGGTATCATACAGCTTACATCTTACAAAAAAAAAGCTCTGTGGATTTATACAGAACAATCAAACAACTTTACAAGATATTACTAAATGAACCAGAAGAATAATACAAAATGCATACCTGTTTCGATGCACTCACAATTCTCACAACACACTGGGTGTACAATGAGTTGGTGCCTTTATCCAATTCAGAGACAGCAAAATCTGCAAGGCGTGTGATATAAGGATCACTTATATTGGCAGGTGAAGTACCACTTAAAACAATATTACCACCACTGCGTTTCTCCCTCAATTTCTTCTCAGGCAGAATCCTTTCTTCTGTGGTACATTCAGATTTCACAACCTACAACAAATAAGGTATTCCTGTAGGCAATACCACATACATGTGTAAACTAATTAAGGTCTGGCTTCAAGCTTTAAACTAAGAAATGAAGCAGGTATATTTTACTTGACCTTTATAAAAACTGCTATGTCTGACAGCATGTGACAACTCTTGGTTTTTTTAATTCTTATTATTCTATTTCAGCAAGGCCTTGCCCAAAGCTCTGTTCTGAGGCTCACCGAAATATTGCTTCCATCTCCTTCTAGGTCATCCTAGGTCATAAACTTCTCAGGGCTGTGTCAGGGGTCATCTCTTCTACATGTTCCTTCCGGTTTCTTCAGTACTGTCCAATTTATCGCGTTATATTTTTTGTTTCCAAATGTTCTCGCATGTCTTCACTTCCCTTTTCATCCTTCAATTTATCTCATAATACTGATCTAAGAAATCTGATTTGGCATGCTGAACTTTTACATGAACTAAACAATCAAGAAATTTTTGAAGGAAATATTTCCTTGTATTAAACATTCTCTGGGAGTACTTACATATGCTTCTTACCTTAAAAAAATAACCTATTGCTGACAACCTAAAATGGTGGCATGGCACTGTGGGAGTAGATAACACTCTTAAGGAAACTTTTTAAACTTATAACAGT